GAATATTATCAATTATCTTTACGTTCTATTTTTTTCATATTGATTGAATTATAGAATAGAATATTATATTATTATGACTATCTTATTTAAAATTAAATTCAAACCATTTATATAAAAAAAAATTTTTGCATAAAAAAATTAACATTACTTCAATATTATTAGTAATTTTTTAACTTGACTCAGAAAAAAAAAAGTTCCAGGACATTTCAGGACATTTTTCAAAAAAATGTCATTTTCCAGGACATTCCAGGACTGTGGCCACCATGGTAATATATAGACGATCCCTGAAAAAAAATACTTGAAACTAAAAGATTTTATTTATTACAATATATTTGAACAACCAAGGGACAATTTAAAGAACTATATCTTTAAATAGCAAACTATCAATCGCAGTATTAAAAAAAACACAAGAGCTCAGTATTTACAGAGTTTAATCAGAGCTCAGTAAATACAGAGTTTAATCAATTCTCTCTCTACAATTCTCAATACTAATTCTTTTTTTCGTCATCAAATTTCATTCGTCATTTTCATCATCAAATTTCATTCACCATTCATCATCAAATTTCATCTAAGAGAGAGAAAGAGAGAGAGGAAGTGTTTTAAAAACAGCATGTCAGAAAAAGTAAAAAAGTCATGCAATAAATAACAGTAACTGGTTTTATTATGCTACCAACAAACAAAATTATTTTTACCTTAACTAAAAGTTAATTTCCAGCATTTCTTAATTAAGTTCCAGCTTCTCTCTAACTGTTGACAAATAATTGATATTGTAAATTTCACATCATATTAAATTAACAAAGTTAAAACCATGTTTCAACAGTAAGCAAAATAATCAAGTGATGACAAAGACAACTAAAAAAAAAATAAACACAATTATGTTTAAGTTTACAGTAAAAAAAAAAAAAAAATCATTAAAAATTGTTATTATTTGTTATTATATATATTATATTATATTTTATATTATTAATTGTTATTAGAATTGTTATTATTTGTAAAATTGTTATTTTTTGTTTCTATATATAGTAAAATTCATACTTTGCTTTATTTTAAAGAGTCTTATGTAAAGTCAAATAATAAACATCAACACTGCTTGACACTGAATTATGGCAAGTAAGTTTTCGGTTCATCAAGCAAAATTTCTTATATTTCAACGACAATCAATTTTATCACGCCTAGATCTATTTCTTTCATATGACAACAATTTTAAGTCACCTATAACCATTTACACTAATACCTTCTTCGAGTCTAATATTATACATCTGTTATCATTAAATATATATTACCAGTGATAATCTTACTGTTACAACTGAAAAAATTAACGCTTTATATTTTTACAACTGAAAAATATAAAAACAAAATTTATTGACATTATTTTAACTTAGCAAAGAATTTAGAACACGATGCAAAGTTATTTGCATTGTGTTCTAAATTCTTTGCTAAATTAAAAAAGCCTTCAGGCACAATCTTTTATGTACATAAACTTTTTGTATGCACATTTATGTATATAAACTTACCTGTCAAAAATTACAGTCAGTTTTCCATATTAAATACATAAAATATATATCTAGTATAAAATTAAACAAAACATTAATCTTACTCAAATCAGTAAAAGTTCGACTTTCTAACGATTTTTATTATTAACCCTTCTATTTAAAAAAAGAAACAATTGATTTGAAGTGACTAAAAAGCACTTTAGCTCTTTCCAATTGCACTAAAAAATAAAATAAACCTTGCTTTGCTAAGTTGCCTAGTTCTTAAGCATCTAAAAACAAATAAGTAAAAAACCAAGAACAAAGAAACATTTTTTTACTAAAACTACTATATTTAAACAAATTAAATTAAACAGAGAACAACATTGATACTCCTTGAAAGCTGAAAAACTTTTCAGCTCAAATTTGCTTGCAGACCTTGCTTATAAAACCACTTGAATAAGAAAAGCATCAAAAAAAGCCTAGAAGCTACTAAAAATGGTATATGCAACATTGAACTTTAAATGTTGATTGGAGTAGATATTTTTAAAAAATTCAAAATGATTTGTTCTTCTATAGCAAATAAATACACCATAAATCTGAAATTAAAATTGTAACGAATAAGTAACTACAAAAAAAAACATCATATGTGAATTGAAAATCAATAGGGATTAGCTGTTGTGATACCTGAGTAGTAGTTGCTAAATATTGTTTTTTCATGATAAACAAATTGTATTTATAACGAAATGTCTTGAATGAATTTTAGTGAATAAAAGCAGTGAGTTCTAGTAATGAAACTACCTATTAATCATTTTTAACAGCTGACACCAAACTAAAGATGAGCCAAAGGTAACAATATTACACAAAATATTGTTAAAGATAATGCAATGTGTTTTCAGAACAGTTATATTAAAGGCTAGGCAACACTTAGGCCTAAAGCAGTAACATCGCTTGACTTGTAAGGTTGATAAATCTTGCTCTACACGTTAGCTAAGTCACTCCACTTTGAAATCATGGAAACAACATTACATAAACATATATACTAATATAAAAAAATTCTCCAAACAAATATATAAAAAATCCCAATTTTTGCAAAATAAAATTAATTTGCTATCGTCAAAAGTAATACAGGTTTCTTAAGTTTATATGATGGAAGTTAAGAAAAACCTGATATTATTAAGTTAAGAAAAATTATTAAGAAGTTAAGAAAAACCTGATATTATTTGATAGAAGTTAAAAAAAACCTGCAACTATATTAGCAAAAACTTATTTAAAAAAGTTGAAATTTATTCTGTTTCTAATAAAGAAAAAAAAATATAGAAACAAACAACATATTTTTGCAGACAGCGTCATAAGGCATGCATTAGGAGAAAACATTGAAAAAAACGGGTAATAAAACTTTATAACGCGTTATGTACAATAGAAAACGGGTTATTAACGCAGGTTTATAAATTTTTTTCTACCAACACACTATTATGCTGCAGCAACTCCAAGGATATACATAGTTATATATATATATATATAATATATATATATATATATATATATATATATATATATATATATATATATATATATATATATATATATATATACATATATATATATATATGTATATATATATATATATATATATTATATATATATATATATATATATATATATATATATATATATATATATATATTTACATACATACATAGGTAGGATGCGTGACCACCCTGCAGAGAGAGAGTTAGTATAAACACTTATTTATCTTTTTCTTTAAATATAAATTTCTCTATTAGTTTTGAAAATTCTGATCCACTTATTTCATAGCTCTACTTTATGACAATATTGTGGTATATTTAGGAATGGTAAATATGTGTACACATTTTCTTGTGTTTTGGCTGAATAGCTGTTTAAATCATGTGAGAAAAATAGAAACCACATATATAAAACCGTTTTTTGTTTTATTTTGTGTAGACATATCCATATAATATTGTATACCAATAGAGTTCCTTACGTATCCAAGACGTAAATCTGTATGATGAATATATAGATTTTAAAATGGAAGAAAAGTTTCCTGAAAGTGAGAAAGAGTTTTTTTATTTTGTTTTGGAGAAGGTTTTCGATGCTGAATCTTCAAAGGTATATTTAATGCTTTATTTGTAACATAATTGTGAGTTGTAGAAGAATTATATAGTGTGAAAATTATTATTAAAGTTAACTATTTTGATTGATCACTTTACTTAGATTCCTGCCATAAAAAAGTAGATGACTTTATTAGGGTCCAAATAGTAGATGACTGTAATGCTGAGGTAAAATTATTTACATTTAGCATATTTCTTAAACTTATTTTGTTTGTTATTTTAAAGTTAGTTTATCTTTTTAGGGTTTTGTTATGAAAGAGGTTGAATACCAAGAGAAACTTACAGGAAAAGTAACCTTTGCTATATTTATAAACATAAAAAATTATTTTGTTTTCTATTTTTATTTCTATAAGTGCTAAACAAATGTTAGATTTCTTTTTTTCTTCTTTTAGCGGTTTTCAGATAATAAAAGACCATCTAGACTCTGCATATTTTGTGGCCACATGAAACAAAAGCTAGGTAGACATTTGAAAAATAAGCATGGAAAAGAGTCTCTGGTTGTTGAGGCTGTGAATCAGCCAAAGTTAGTTAGTAAAAAACTCTTTGCTAAAATAAAAAGAGAAGGAATATTAACTTACAATAAAAGTCAGTCTTCCACTGATAATCCTATATATCAACGTGAAAAAAGTGGCACCAAATATAAAAATTTAATGCAGTGCAGTGCTTGCAACAGTTTCATAAGCAAGAGGTTCTTTACCAGGCATGCTCAAAAGTGTTCACTTAGTACAATTAGTGCAGTTGAACCAATTCCAGTTTCTACTGAATCATTAGATATCCCCAAGTTGCTAGATCTTGACCCAGGTTTTGTAAGGAATGTTTTAGGAAAAATTAGAAATGATGAGATTGGTAAACTATGCTGCACTGACGAAAATATTGTATACATTGGTTCTAAGTTGTATTAGAAACTTCACAAAAAAGAGGATAAAGCGGCAGAAGTTTTTCGATCTGTACGGGGAGATATGCGGCAACTTGCAAATTGCTATAATATATTTAAGCAGCTGGATGGTGTACATGCTTTATATTCCAACTCTCTAGATATGTTTAATCGGAGTAATTTTGAGCAACTTTCTGAGGCCATAGAATTATATACAAAAAGAGAAGATTTGTCTTTTAAAGCAGGCTTAAAACAAAACTTGTATTACCTTATCAAAAAATCTGCAACTCTTGCAATTCATTTTACTCAAGGAAGAAAGATGATGAAGCTGCTGAGATCTCCAAATTTATTCAATCTTTTAAGGGTTGGCAGGATTATCTATTTGGTGATGCAACATACCATTTAAATAAAAAATGACAAATTAGTTTAAGAAAACCGTCAGGGTTAGGGTCAGGGTTAGGGTTAGGGTCAGGGTTAGGGGTCAGGGTTAGGGTCAGGGTTAGGGTCAGGGTTAGGGTTGTTAAAAATCACGTAATAGAGCTAATGAGTTCAATCTGCAGTAAATTTCATTTTGATGATGAAAGCAGTTATAAAAAACTTAGAAATGCTGCATGTGCACTCATAACTTTATTAAATAGCAGAAGAGGTGGTGAACCTGCTCGAGTTTTGTTAGCAGATTGGTTGCAAGGAGAAAATGATGAATGGATTGATAAACAAAGACTGAAAAAACTTGACAGTTTAGACCGCATTTTAGTGAAGAGTATGAAAGTTATTTACATGACTGGAAAAGGTAATAACCATCTAGTACCAGTAATTATTCCAGGAGACACGATTCTTTCAATGAAAAAACTTTCTAACGAATGTTTCCGTAAAGTTGGTCGCGTTCTTGCAAGTAATAAGTTTATATTTGCAAGCTCAAAAGGATCTGAAAATCATGTTTCAGGGTGGCATGTTGTGAACAAAATTTGTTCGAAGTTAGTATTTAAATCACCAAAGGACATAATTGCCACCAAAAATCGGCATTGGATTAGCACACTTTTTGCATCTCTTGAAGTAGAAGAAAAAGATAAAGAGTTATTTTACTCTCATATGGGGCATTCTGAAAAAATGAATCAAGATTTTTATCAGGCTCCATTGGCATTATTGGAATTAACACGTGTTGGAAAGCAACTAATGCAAATTGATGCTGGTATGTATTTTTTGTATTAGTTTCTGGAGTATTCATAAGTACTTAAAAGTTAATTTGAGTACATTAACAAATCTTTTGATTTTTATGTTCTACTTATATTTTGTTAAGCTTAATTGTGCAAAATTTTTACAAAGTATAAAGGTGTTTAAAAAGAGTTTTTAGGCCTCACTTAACTTTTTTTATTTATAAAATTACAGTTTTTATTTATAAAATTATACAAAATGAACACAAAATATATTAAACTTTGTTTTGTTAAATTTACTTTAGGACAATCTGATGTGATACAGGATCTGCCTACAAAAGGTATCTGTTTTTTAATTTTTTTTAAGTTAAAGTGTGCTTTACAGACAACGACTAATTTTTATTGTATTATAAAATATCTAGAATCTTATAATGTTGTTGATAAAGAATCTGGTGAGAATGTTGTTGATAAAGAATCTGATGAGAATGTTGTTGATAAAGAATCTGATGAGAATGTTGTTAATAAAGAATCTGATGAGAATGTTGTTGATAAACAATCTGATGAGAATGTTGTTGATAAAGAATCTGATGAGAATGTTGTTAATAAAGAATCTGATGAGAATGATGTGGATAAAGAATCTGATGAGAATATTGTTAAAGAAAAATAACTCTCACACTTTAACTTTAAAAGGTTATCTATTTCAACTTTTAAAAAATTTGTATTACATTTATAATAAATTTAAATATTTGTTTTATATTCTAAAAGATCTTATCTAGGTAGTGGCGTTTTTGGCATTAAGGAGAATGTTGGTGATTTTCCTCTTAAGAAAATTATGACTGATAATCCAACTTTAAAAAATAAATGTTCATCATCCATATCAGATGACTTTTAAAACTTAAAATTTTTATTTTTCAATATTTAATTAATCTTTTGTATTATCATAAAAACCATAACTCCTCATTTAACTTTTAGATGAACAAGAAAAAGTATCAGTAAAGGCAATCGAGTCAAATATTGGTGCTAATTTCACTAAAGTTTTTAACGGTTTAAACCTAAAAGTTTATTCAAAAAGGTCACTCAAAAATGGTAACTTTTTTTTTACAGCATATTAATAAATAAAACTTATTAGGCTATATTTTAAAAAAATTATTGGAATAATTTGTATTATACTTTTAGTTAATTATGCAAATGTAGAAAATAATGAAGAAAAGGTTCAAGAAAGTGAATCTGATTACACTAATGAAAGCTAAGATGAGGACAGTGAAAATTTTGATTTAGATGAAAAACGAGATCTTAGTTCCAGTATTTTTATTTTACTCAAACTTACAAAAACATTGTTACATTTATTTAAAATTAGAAAAGTATTTTTTCCTTAAACAAGTTCAGTTTTACCAATACAATATCTTTTAGAATCAAAACCAAAAAAGTGGACTGTAAAGCAGGTTGAAGCTTTGAATCGTTACTTTGGGGATTTTATCTGCGGAAGAATTTCCGATTGCCCTAGTAAGTAATTTTTATCATTCCAAAAAAATGTATGATTAAGAATTAAGTTGACGACTAAATTTCACGTTGTTTTTCAATTATTTTTGACACTGATCAATTTTGGATAAAAAGTAAGTTTCAAGGTTATTATAAAACACTCTAAAGCTATTGATACCACCATTTCTTCTCATAGTCTAAGAATCTGTAATCGGTTTCAGCAATACATTTAAATACTGTAAATCTTTTTCTAGCTCGAAAAGAAATAGAAGGTTTTCGAATAAAAAATGCAATTGATTTTCCTTACTCAAAAATCCGCTCTAAATTAGTCAATGATCGCGAGAAAAACAGACAATAGATAAGTATAAGGGCCTTTCGGATAAACGATGCAAAGA